AGGTCTATTCCCGGTCCACACATGGAGACATAGATCATCCAGGTCTTGTTCTAGAATTGCTTTCTCTCTGCGTGTTGTCTTGCACGCATTCTATTAAAAAAAAAAAAACTGGAACTAGGAGACTGAGGCAGGATTGTCTTGAGGTCAAAGCTATAAGGATTGTCTTGAGGTCTAAACTAGCCTGGACTGCAGGACATGACTTCCCCAAAATAACCACCACCGAAGACATCTATTAGCAATTGTTGGAAGTTGGGAGTTTCAGGGATCAAGGTTTCTTGGGGGTTTTCCGAGACTGCGTTTCTCTCTAACAGACCAGCTGTACTGGAACTCAATCTACCGAGAGTCTGATACACCAGCATTGCTGAGCATGAAAGATGTCTTCTATTAATTAAACATGGGGCGAATATTGTGCAAATAAAAACTTCTTAGCAGAGGATGGTTTCGATCCATCGACCTCTGGGTTATGGGCCCAGCACGCTTCCGCTGCGCCACTCTGCTGCTTGCTGTAGCGCACGCTGAAGCTCCTATGTAGTTCCATCAGGTTTAGGTTTAATTACATTATTCTCTTACACTTTTAAAATTTAGCCTTTGTAATCCAGATCTAACAAAAATTGCCAAATGGATTCTCCTGGGTCATAAATCAAGATCTCAAAGACCGGATCAAGACCGAGTTCCCTGGGTTTGGACTTTCTCGAAGTCGTTACCAGTAGGCGGTGTTTGTTTGTTTGTTTGTTTGTCTGTTTTGCGAATGTCGGCTCTCCAGAGGAAGAATCCTGGGAAGTCTTCCAAATTTTTTTTTGTTTTTTTGTTTTTCGAGACAGGGTTTCTCTGTATTGTTTTGGGTCTTCCAAATTTCTAACAGTCTCATTCTTACCACCAAAGCCGCCTCTTCTGGACTGCCGCCTCCTCCTGCAGACCCCATTTCCCTCGTCTGCCAGGCACCTATTCCCATCACTTGGACAAATTCCCCACGTGTACAAGCTTCAGCTGAGTTTGCGGCTCCGGCTTGTAATCTAAGCACTGTGAGTTTGAGGCAGGAGGATTGCCTTGAGTCCCAAGCCAGAGTAGTCTATAAAGGAAGACCCTGATGCAAAAGGGAAACAAGTAAATATTTAAATAAATACATAATGAATGAGATTAGTGTCACCATTAAATGTTTAAACACCACATTTAAAACATTTTTTTGTTTTTGTTTTTATTTTTGTTTTTCGAGACAGGGTGTCTCTGTATTGTTTTGGAGGCTGTCCTGGAACTCGCTTTGTAGATCAGGCTGGCCTCGAACTCATAGACTGGCCTCCAACTCACAAAGTTTCGGCTGTCTCTGCCTCCCGAGTGCTGGGATTAAAGGCGAGCGCCATCAATGCCTGGCAAAACACCACATTTTTAAATTCCTAAAATACAAAAGAAAATAAATGCTACACTAATTAATTAACTAATTATTAACTAATTAATTTTGGCCATCCCGGGAATTTGGGTCTTTCAGTTTTTTAGTCAGATGGAAGCAAAAAGTGTTTACTTGTGACATTCACATCACAAGCAGGTTAAGTAGGATTCTAGATCTCTGTAAGAGGGTGCTCTTCCAAGGACGCACTCGATACCAGCATCACAAAAGTTTGGTAAAGAAGGTTGTGCTTTAGAGTGAGGTTTTTGTTTAGAATTGGTCGGGTTTCTTCTTCCTTTTCCTCTTCCTCTTCCTCTTCCTCCTCCTCCTCCTCTTCTTCTTTTTTAACCCAAAAATTTTTCCAAACTTCTGAATGTTTTGAATTTAGTAGGTATGATTTTTGTAAAGTCAGAGGCCCAAATGGATCACTAGTCCATGTCTTTAATTACTCAGCCACAATTACACAAGTTGCTGTTGTGTTTAAATAAAATAGCTGTCGTTAACTATAGATCCCCTTTAAAGGTTTAGCCAGGAGCTAGTATGTTTACAGCCAGCATTTTCCACTTCTTGTTCTTTAGATGACTATGGTGCTAGCATACCAAACCAGCAGCTACATTATATCCTCAGGACCAGACGCTTTACCTTGTTGATCTGCTAAAATGAAACCAGATAGCCAAAAGTGGGTGAGGTAATCGGAGGGCAGGATGGATGAGGAAGAAGGATCAATAAGAACAAAGTAGAATGACGTTTGTATAAAAATGATATAATGAAACTGATTGTTTCTAATGCTAACTTTAAAATTGCTGAGGTCCTGTAAATGTGTAAGTGTGTGTGCATGGGGTGAGGACGGATAGAAGCAGTGGGGACTTGCAGGTAGGAGAAACGACCATTGCTGTGACTATATAAGGACCAGAGTTTAGAAATCGGATTATTTTGTGCGTTTGAAAGACTTGCTCCACAAAAGAAAAACAAATCAGGTTCCACCGAGATTTGAACTCGGATCGCTGGATTCAGAGTCCAGAGTGCTAACCATTACACCATGGAACCTCACATTAGAAGGGTATAGACTGCTAACTGATGAGGTATAGTTCTATTACAGAATTTCAGTAAGAAGGCTCT